CTTTGTTTGTCCAGATGCATTTGTAAAGCTTTTGCATGAGGAAGACTGTCATTTAGCATTGCATAATGTATCCAATAATAGTGCTCACATTAGATTTTGTTTATCATCAATTTACAATACCTTCCTATTAAACAATAATTCCAGCTTCAATGGCAGATGCAAAGTGTCTGAATATCTTGCATAAAATCAGTATGGTATTGTGCAGGAGTTTGGAGCTGTACAATAGAACAATTTATTTTCTCCCACAATACTGGACTAAAAGCTTTTCTTCTTAGCATTACAATCAAAAGTTTTATCAACTCCCTTTTTCTATGTATGTTGAAAAATTGCTAAGAGTTACAACTGTTTCTCCTTATACCATTTAAAGCAGATTCAATATGTACTCAAAAGTGATATAGCCACAGGTTTATTTGCATTTGAGAACACATATTTGTGTCTCAGATTCTTTCTTCCAACATTAGCTCTGGGCATACATTCAAAATGGGGGGGTCATATTTTTCTGAGCAGTGGGAACAATACAAAGTTAAAACTTGAGTTTGAAACTCCAAAGAAATTACTTGTTTAATTAGAAACAGAGGTCTAAAGACTAGGTTCAGAAAAACTGTTTTAATACACAGGTTATTGGAATAAGTGGATTATCAATACAAGAGAGAAAATGTCTGCACGTTATGAAACATTATTAAACATATTAGTTTGAAAAGTTAAAATAAGATTATGTCTTTGCATTTTTTTATTGCTAGAGCACTTTGAACACTTTAAAAAGGACTGTTAAAAATTTTAAAGTTTTCTAATCTGAAACACAACTATTCGGTATCTGTCTCTGCAACACTGGACTCGAAAGACAAAACATGCCATAGGCAGATAAACAGTTAACTAAAATATTTGGATAAACTTGTATTGAGTAAGAAAAAGCAAATGCATAATGAAAATGCAATCAATTTGTCTGAGAAAGATCAACACTTCTGTGTGTGGTAGTGTAGTGAAGTATCTACAAAACTGGCTGTATCGGATTGAGGCTATAACATAAAGCTGAATATTTACTCAATCAATGCATTATACGCACAGTGCTTTATAATTTCTCAATCTAGTTATGTATTGCTAATGCAAATCTTGAAATATAGGTGAGGCCTGACAGGGACAAAAGAAACAGAATATAAAAGTACATGTTGTTTTGTCTTAGTAGGTCTGGTGGCAGCCGAACTGATTGGTTCTATGATTGAATTGTTGATCGGCTTGGGCTGAAGCTAAGGCTGCTATAGCAATTGACTCAAGATGATGAAGTGGAGATTGATGGTGATGGGAATTGATAGCAAACTTCTGGTGTTTTTGCTCTTAGAAGCTGAGTCAGCTTCATTTTCCAGTTGTTATAATTTTCCACCGATATATTTATACGGAAGCCAATGTTGTAATCTGGATATTTAACCTCAGATTTCAGTTTGTAGTTTAGGAACAATCTTAATTTTTTAAATAGTAAAACCAGAAAGTTTCATGGTTTTAATTAGGTTCCTTTGGATATTTCTGCCATGTCGGGTACCTGATGGCCTTCAGAGATGACTGGAGACTTATCTGTGATCATTTCTACCTACTACCTTTTCAGCGGTTAGTAAGAAGGTCCTGAGTATCTGCTGGTCCTGTATGGTTTATGTCCCAGCTACCAGTTGAAACAAACATATTTGGTTTATTCCTTGCTTTGTTCAATAAACAGGAGAAAGTGATCAAATATTTACAACTTAGAAATAGGAATAATAATGATCTAATAAAACACTGTATTTAAGAATGTGAGACCTTATTTTGAACTTCAGACAAACACTGCGTTGCCCTACTGCTGCAGAGCCAACTCCCAAAGGAACAGCATGTCCTCACAGTTCTGTTGTCAGAGGCAGTCTGCATCCATGCATAAATGAGATCTGAGACAAGCAAAGGACATCACAAACAGAAGCCACTGAAAACTGCACTTTTTAATTAAGCTGCAAGCTCTACTGAAAATTAAACAAACATAATCAAAAATACATTCTCTTCCTACGAGTTTCAAACTGTGCCCTTAGTTCTTTTAATATTAAAGCAAGGACAGAGTGCAAAAAAGCAATTTCCTTTGATGAATTACATGATTAGGTTCTGATTCAACTTTTATTATATCCTGTAGCATTAAACACGAGTGTCACCAGAAATACTAAAATCGCTATAAATCTTGCGTACAGAAGCATGAAATCTCTTTGCTGTGTTAAACAGTCATGCCATTTCTGGGTATTGAGAAAGTTCTGCTTCATTTGTGCTCATTAATTGCACTTGAGAACGGTGCAACTGCTGCCCATTCTGTTTGCCTGAACACGGCGCCTGACAGGCACTGGCATCCTTGGTTTACCTGACGGGCACCTGCAGGTGGTGGCACACGGCCGGAATTTCGGAGCAATGATGCATTCCACTCTGTTTGCATGCAGTGGTCGGTTGTGCTTTGGGATTTAACTCATACTAGAAGCTTGGAAGTTTTACCATAGACTTCAGATGGCCTGGGGTGGACCGTAGGTATCTAGCTCATCCGCCCCTTTGTTTCTTAAGGAAACATTTTGTTTCTAATCAGGAAAGAAACATCACCTGTCTGCCTAGATATGCTGCACACACAGGCAGAAAAAATAAAATTATGCTCACTGGACTCAAACCCAAATGTCTTATTTCTTATTTAGAATAAATAAAATAAAAATCAGAAACTGAATTTAGAATTCAAGTGGCATTTGAAGCCTCACAATTAGGGTCTGAAAAAACCCTTCAATGTTTAATTCTTCTGAGAAACCTTCACTGGCTCTTGTTTATAATTTAAGTCACATTTGGGTCATTACTTGATCATCTAAGTGGGACTTAAGTTAGACAAAGGCTATATGTACTTCTCTTTTACCTCGAAATTTAAGTACACACCTATGCAGCATGTAACATATTTTTGTTCCTTTTTTTTTTTAGTGTGGGCCTAGGAGCACCAATGCCTGTTTTCATAAGTGAGCTAACATTTCACCATATAAACCTTTTTTACAAGAATGGAGATGTAGGTTCCTGATACCATTTCCAAAAATAACATATTAGTTCCTTTACTCAAGATCATATCATATCAGCAGAGAAGCTGAGCACCTGATGTGAAATCAATAAATGTGAGCGTTTCATGGAAGTAAATTGCCCTCTGAGGAGGAATTGATCTCTGAAGATCATATTTTAAAAAAAGGATCCATCTTTATGAATAAGAGATAAGAGTAATGTCAGAGTAATAAAAAGACAGACTGGAAAAGAGATATATAATGAAATTCATTCATATGTTTCCCCCTGCTGTCTTACCTGTATCCGCATACAAAACCATGAGTGTTTCTACTGTTTATAGCTATAATTTTCATATGTAAAGGATGGAAATTCTTACAGGAAGTTTGTTGCATTTGTGATGTTCCATTCTTATTTTACTTAAGCATACTTCAAAATCCGTCTGTATTTCCACAAAATTATAGATGTATCAAATTTGTCTGAGACACATAGTGATACCACTCCAGAATCTTAGATTAAATTCTGCAAATTCAGTGCTAGAATTTAGTTTTAACAGGAATGGGAGTCACCATTCTGCAAGTCTACTGATTCTTAATGCAGCTTTCCTTATGTTGTCCATCTACAACAAATTAAATGAAGCAAATAACGTGCAGTAGAAAAGCCTGTAATTTAAGGATTGTATGGCTGACATGCATGAAGAAACTATGCCATCATTTATCATCAACCTTTCATGTATATTTGAAGAATTTAATCTACTGTGAGAGCCCCCAAAATAGATTATAAAAATTGTCTGCAGTTTGAAATCCATTAAATAATTTCTTTTATAGATAAACTTCAGCTTTGGGGACAAAATGGGAGCTATTCGAGAAACAGATAGATCTCATTTAAAAGAAACTGAGCTTTCTGCGAAGCTTACAAGATATATATATGCAACTCATATGCTATAGTTCAAACATGTATGTACGGCTTGCTTGTATCTTATACTACAAAGTTTTTATTAGGTCTATATTGTTGGATGAATTTTTCCTGAAAGCCTGCTTTTAGAGCCATCATCATCATGCCATCAACACCTGCAAGCTCAGGAATTGGCTGTGCTCTTATTAGGAGAGACACATCTTGTTTGCTTAGTTGGGAACTTGTGTCTTCTTCCTTAGGGATGCAAACTCATTAGGGATTAGTGAAACAATTCAGCAGAGCCCAGGACACTAGGACTCCAGTACTGGTGGGGGACATTTAACCACAACCTGTCCAAGAAATCAAACAAGAATGACAAAAGCCTTTCTCTGATTTATCTCTTCCTGGAAAAATCTGGATTTCTTGGCCTTGAATAGCAGATGCAGTGTCTACCTCATGAGACTAGGAAATGCGCAACACAATGGAGTGTTGAGAAAGGTTTGGTGATTTAGGATGGTCAGCTACTTTCCTTCATTAAGGACCTTCTGGGGAGTCCCATTCAGCACCAATTGTTACCCACTCATCGTGGAGAACTTAAAAAGACCTGGGCTGGGTAAAGAGGACAACTCCAGAGTGGCTCATGAATTTAGCCTGGTTCAGACCCAAAGCTTGATTCAGACCCAAAGCTTGATTCAGACCCAAAGCTTGGAGAAAGCAGACTCCATTAATTTCTTAGTGAATTCTTAGGCAGTGCGAAACTTCCCCTTTGGGGACTTGTAATATATATTTTATTCTCTTTTTCTTTCTTCAGTATGTTTTATTATTCAGTATTAGACGTATGTAGATCAATATATATATATACTGTCACAAACTTGTGCCTGATTGTAAAATATGGAAACATATGGGAGAGAAACTAAATAACAGAAAACTGAAGAAAGTGGTTTTCATTGAAGTAACAAAACCACACATTTAAAAAACTACTTGGAAGTGACTCAACCTTATGGTTAATTTAAAATGCAGTAGTTGTTGTGGCTTCAGAGTAGTTCCTACTAATTGTTATAGGCAAGAATGTTTTTATGTCCACACAGGCACGGTGGGATGGTCTGACAGGACGCATAACCTTCAACAAAACAGACGGCTTACGGAAGGATTTTGATTTGGACATTATTAGCCTCAAAGAGGAAGGAACAGAAAAGGTAACCAGATCTTTTGTAAAACAATGACAAAAAACTAATTTGACAGGCACATAGGAGAGTCTGCTTGGGGTAAAAAACATGTACTCAAGGTTATTTAACTCAAAGTTAAAACAGAGCTACTAAGGTTGTTTTAGTATTTTCCAATGCATTCATTGCTTTTCAAGGTGTGGGGTGGGAATGTGGGACTGGCAGTAATTATGTGAATGGAAATAATGATTTTAAGTGCACATTGTCTTCAGTTCTTGCTCTTGTAACTTGGATGGTAAATTCATATGTATAGATAAAACCAAACATGTACTGCTTTTAATAAATACGACAAGAGGGAGAGACAAAAGAAGGTGCTTGAGTAATAACCTCAACAAGAGTTCATGTTTATGAGATTAGATTATTTCTTTTTCCCTTGTCCCAGCCCTCAGTCAACAAACATGAGTTCCTGAGGGGCTCCCTCTGCCTCTGCCTAGAATGTGATTTCTGTGGATGTCCAAAAATCTTTAACATGGGTAACACCACCAGCTCATGTCAGCTGGAGACAGCGTTTTCCATTGCTCTGCATACTCTGGCTTGACTCTGCATAATAATTGCTGATGAGTTAATTGAGACTTTAAATGTAATTGCTCCCACACAACTCTCCAGACTGGTTCTCTTTTAATTTTTAATGAAGCACTCTGTTTATTTTTCTCTGTACCAAGGCTGCTGGCGAGGTTTCTAGTCATTTATATAAAGTGTGGAAGAAGGTTTGTACAGAGACAGGTGATGCAAAAAACCTTTGGGCTGGGTCTTCAGACTCATCCTTTGGGTTTTGATAGCAACTGTCATTATTGCAGTTTAGAGACAACAGTCTATCCAAGAGTATGAATTTTTCTGATAGAATAAGTTTCATCCCAACTGTAATTCCAAACAGTAAAAAGATCTCAGATGGATTTAGCTTTTCCACTCCAATATTTTTTATCACTATTTTATTTCTTTAAAGCAGTGCTTTTTCCTCTTTGAGTAGAGGCTCCTGACTGCAGCAAAAGCTGTTATCCTTCCTGATTCACCTAAGATTCTCTATGAGTGGTAAATTTATACCATTTCGAATGTATGTTAGTGTCAGCAGCAAGGATTGTTTTAACATGCAGAGCTGGGTGGGGTTTTTTTGCCTCCCAGAAAATGCATACTGTGCAGGCAATGTTCAGACATTGCTGATTCAAAATTTTGCCAAGTGTGTTATTAGCGCCTTACAGAAAATAATACAGAAGATTAAGTGGGAGCTGTCATTCAATAACATACAGAAATTGGAACTAAGCTTGTTTATGAAAGATCTAAATTACCCCAGGAATTTCATCTCTCTTTTGATGTGAAGTGCCTCTCTCTGCCTGGTGGGAAAGGCACCAAAGTGGGAGTCAGAGACCAGCTCCCTGCGCTGCTCCCTACTGGAGGTACAACCTACGGTTGCCATTCTGTAAGAAGGTAATAACTACGTTCACCGCATTTAAAATGTTAAAATAAAAATTTCTTGTATGACTTAGAATAATATTTTTTACGTATTTCCCACAGATCTTATTTTTTCCCACCTCTCCCACATACACAAAAAGTTTTGGGGTTTGTGTTGTTTTGGGAGGGATTTTAATGCTGCTGTGTAGACCAGTGTAAAGCATCCTACAGCACTCTTCATACTCTTGTAAGGCACACATTTAATAACCTTCTTTTAATCTTCAGTGAATCAGGCTAAGGCACAAAGGCTCCCATTTCCCTCATTACTGGCGAATAGATCATCCTACCTGATGTGCAGAATGCTATTGAACCAATCTCACTTTTGACTCTAGGCATTTTGTGTTATGCTGAATTGATTTAAACCAAATTACAGTTGGTTCAGAGCACAGGCTTGCTGAGAAGGGCATAGGACACCTCTCAAACTTGTCACTAAACTGCAGTAAATTCCCCCAGATTCACCATAGTGATGTACTACCTTGACCTCATTCTTCCAGTGCCCCTCTGACCTCCTCCATCGCTCTAATCAAGGTTGACCTGCGATGTCATTCTTCTATCCAGATGTGGAGTGGTCTCCTGGTGTATTTTGTATGCACTGTGACTGTGTTGCTCCATGTTCTTCATGGTTGTTCTCCTCTTCCCTGCTGCCAGCCAATAAAAGCATATCAAGTCAGTAACAAAGAGAACGGCTTTTGACTAACTCAGCCACCCTGGTGCAAATTCAAGGACACTGGTTATTTACTATATTCCTGGCACAGGCTCTCATAATATCCAATATTATTTCCTGTGTACTTTCCAGATCAGTTTCCCAACCTGATCTAGTTTTGGAAACAAAGGGAATGACTGATAAATGCTTGAAAAAATAATTTTAAATAATGGCATGACTATCCCCGTTAACCATACTATGGGAAAAAAAAAAATATGTAAGGCAAAAGCAATGACACCGAGGGACACAAACCCGAAGTTTGTTTGAAATTATACAATTCTTACCCCAAATACACGCAGCAGGCACAAATTAATCTGCTAGTTTTGGTACAAAGGCAATCCCATCTCTGCCTCAATTAATGGCCCCGGGTCTGAAATGACTGAGCATCTGATGGTAGATAGAGACCTTCAGTACACAGGACAAGTCAGTGGATTTTGTTTTAGACTTACTTACTCATCAGCTTTTCTGGCAATCCCAGCATGGAGGGTCTGAATGTAGATCCTTCCTGGGTAGAGCTGAAACATGCTGGCAGAGCAGCGCAGTGATGCGATGTGAACGGCCCTGTAGATGGCTGATGTTAGTTCTCCAAGCCATCCATCTGGTGGTCTCCACAAACGTCCAACACAGGTCAAACCACTCGAGCCAGCTCCTTGCCTGGAGTTTTCTCACATCAGCCCTCAGCCACGCTGTGTATGTAAATACAAAGGGGAAAACATGTGAAGGTGCTTTCAGGCTGTGTTTATGTTAAGTAGGTATCTAGAGTAAATCAACATGATTACAATTTCTACCCTCACAAGGTATAGATCCAAGTTATACAAGAGGCTTTGGATCGAGCATTAAATACTGCAATCTGTTACTGTCTCTGGGGCTAGAAAGGAATTTGCCTTTGGCCAGCTATATTTACTGAACAAATACTGATCAGTGTGTGAAATGGTATCACTTTGCTAGCTCTGTCATATGTAGTAGTCAAGAAATGACAGGATAATCTTTGCTAAACCTGCTGAAGGCGCAGCAGAAACAAAAGGCCAGTACATCCATCAATCTGATTCAATATATTTATTCAGGCTTTTAGTCTGTTGTACTGGAGTAAAGAGGTCTTGCCATATGTTTCAACTCTACCATTTCCAAAATTTTTTTTAAAAAAAATCTTAAAAATAGACATTTGACATTTTTTAGCAGGAAACAAAGTCAACATGCTCCACTTTGTAGCAGATTGGCTGATACACCAGTGTATTGACATGCCTTATACTCTTACAGCTTACTCATTTCCACCTGCTTTTGAAAAGGCCAGTATGTTCCCTGTGTTTTCTAAATCAGCTGTTTGATGTTGCTCCCTTACTCAGACCTACAGCCGTTTCCCTCCTCTAGCATTTCGTACTGCTGGTGTCTCCTTCTGTGGTAACCAGAGCCAGTGCGCTCTCCCTAAGTGATGAGCATTTAGGGAAACCTTATGGCTCACCGTGTCTGGGCGGCTGGTGACCCACTCTCTTCTGTGCAGATTGGGGTTTGGAACTCATACAGTGGCCTTAACATGACAGACAGCAACAAGGACCGATCGACCAACATCACGGATTCCTTGGCTAACCGGACGCTTATTGTCACCACCATTTTGGTAAGTCTCACTGGGCAGAGGTGGCACTGTTGGCTGCGCTGCTGGAGGCAGGCTCTGCTGATGGAGGAGTGCGGGGCTGTCCTCTGCTGCCTTCACCACCTCTGCCCAGCACTCCGTGGATGTTTTGCTCCACATGAAACAATGTCTTGTTAAACTAGCCCGTATTTGAGGAAGTTGGACTCAGAATCGACATATTCACTCATCTGTCCACAAGATTGATTAAAACATGCCTCACCACCAATGAAAGGCTCTTAGGAACATCTGTCTCCAAAATTATCTAGCTCACTTCAATATTTCAGAGATGAACCCTGTCTGTTTCTCTTTTCAGAAGAAGTAACATACACAAATACTCAGTTTTGTAGCCAGTGCTTATACATCCTTCCTTTTTCTGAAAATGAGACAAAGAGGACTGAAAGAAAGTAGCAAACAAACAAATTGAGCTATGTCCTTACTATGATAAATGGAAAATATGCAACTGGGTGTTCATGAGTTGTTCTGCCTCATGCTTTCTGCCTGGCCAGTGATGGCACATTTTTCAGTTATTCTGCCGAATTCTTCAG